CAACGGCACCATGTCTGACTGTCTGTATGGACACACCTTCCAAAACATTCAACCTAAACTTTGTGTCCATGTCATTAGTAGTGGTTTAGTGGTGCATTAAAATAAAAAAAAAAAAAACAACACTAAATTAATATTGTAGATAGCGATATTGCAACTATAATAATTTATGCCATGGCATTTTAGCAGCGGGAAGAATACATTTTGATTCTCCGGCTTTAGTAAAAGCAGTGTGATATTGTGTTTTTGATTTTTGTGACCCTTTCTTTTCAAACCATAAATGGGTCCGTTTGATATTATTGTCACTTTAAAGAAAAACACAGATTTGAAGCGTATTTTTCAAGCCCTAATTTGGCAAGTTACCATGTTTCATCTGGAGTCTGCTCAATTATGAGCAAAACTTTCTAATTCTAAGACTTTCACCTCCTGTGTTGAATCCTACCATAAATATCCAGAGTCATTGCCCATCCATCAGAAGTCAGTTTACAAACTGTTTAAGTAGAAGAGTGTTTTCGTAGTGTTTGACTTTTCTTTCTTTGTTTTATGTTGTGTATTTTATATTTCAGTTATTCTTAGATTTTAACTTTTTTTATTTTATTTTTAAATAAGGATGCATGAAACAGTTTTACTTCATCTTGTCCAGGACTCCCTTTCAACAGATTTCTTGTTTCCTGCTAGTGAATAGGAATGAATGAGTTTGATAACATATGTTGTGTCGTAACACGCTTAATTATTCCTTTTGAATAATCCGCTATGCAAGAAAACTGTTTGTTTTTTTCATTATTATTATTAATTGTGGGTTTTTATTATTATTAACATTTTACCACTTGGTGTTATGTAATTTGCTCCAGGATTTTTTAGCTCTATATAACTAACATTAAATGATAATTTTGTGGTTTCTTGAAGTTGTCAAAGGTTTTCTGGGTATTTGTGTTTGACTTTATATTTTAGCTTCCATTTCCACCACTATGCACTTTATTACAATAATGTTTTTGTTTTCCTTCTGTTGTGAACAACAAAATCAATACATTAAGTTTTGTTAGACAACAAATGAACCAAGGTACAAATGTTTTAAATTGTATAATTTTTAGCTGGGTTTTCCCTATGGATAGAAGGATGTTTAACTATATTAATGCAAATTTAATTCACTACACCAAGAAAATTCACTGAGATCTTTGGTATATCCTAAATAAATGTAAATGTTTACAATTTTTAAAGCTAAAACTCATCTGCCTCATTTCTAAATCAAGCTTTGACTGCCAAAATCGACAATTTTGTAACATTTTATTTCTAACGTTAGTAGTTGAGAGTTGAGGTGAATTGACTTCAATGTCTTCGAAAAGTCAAATTGTTTCTGTATGATAAATAAGCCTCAATATTTGAATTGAGGCTTATTTATCATACAGATTTATTATGCACAGAATATGTTTTGAGTGTCTGTATTTATTTTGCAGCTTTTTTCTCTCTCTCTTTTTTTTTTTTTTTTTGCTGTTTTTTAAATATAACATTAGAACATTAAAAAAATAGTAGAAAATTTTTTCTTAAGATAGAAATGTTGAGTCCATATTACGGCCCATAAACTTCAGCAGACAGTGACTGACACCATCCACAGGGAGGTCAAGTCAAAAGAAGGTAATTGTTAAACTGTTCAGAGTGCTGGACCCAAGCAAACAAGTGGAAAATTAAGTGAAAGGAAAAAGTGTGGCAGACAGAGACTTGCACTTTGGAAGAATAACAGCTGCTTAAGAGAATAGAGTTAGTAATCCAGTTAGTATTGATTATTAATCCTTGCGTGTATTTTTAATGTTGTCATTTCATGGGAAATAGAATTTGGGGTTTGAATTAGCTGTAAGGCATTATCACCAAAATGAACCAAAATGAACACTTGAAATATACCACGTGCTTTAAGAATGTGCACATTGTTTTCTGATTAACTGAGAAGAACCTGTTATGTGTGACTGAAAAGCTTCTGACTTCTCGGTGCTAACATGTTTGTCTGAAGAGACACAGAGAGAGAGAGACACAGAGAGAAAGAGAGAGAGAGAGAGAAATACTTTGCTGAGTCTGTGCGCATCACCCTGCTAATGGTGCTGCTCATAATCTGCTGCTCCAGCTGCACTGGCTCTGCGCAGCGAGGCTGCAGGAGCCGGGCCGTCGGGGATTTGTCAAAGGCCTGTTATTACATCTCTAGTCACATAAAATATGGCTGCCTCTCCAGAGATCCAACCGCCAGATAAATCCTCTCTCCTCCAACCAGGCCGGCCCTCACAATCGAGCCGTCCAATGGTTGCTCCTCAGCCGCTTGACCTCTGGTAATGACTTGTGATTTATACAGTACAAGTTTAAAGGACACACGCGCGCGTCTGAGGCCGGGCTTTTTCCCCCCCCCCTGCCTCCCACCCCCTTTTCCCCCACCTGGTTCCCTCTGCTGCATCATATCTGGTGTCATAACTGGCGGGCCTTTAGGAGAAGGGGAGACGTGATGCCCGTCTGCGGCGTGTCACCGAGTGGCTGGAGAGGGGACACTTACCCCCGCAGCTCGTCTAATCGCAGGTAGAGTCTGCAGCGGGGAGCCAGCCGTGCACACACACACACACACACACACACACACACACACACACACACACACACACACACACACACACACACACACACACACAGGCACGCTGCATACTGTGTGGTGGAACTTTAAGCTCGCAGACCGCAGTGATCAACACCTGCTTGGGAAGAAACACAAACGCCGAAGCGCTGGAGGGGAACAAGGAGTTCACATCATCAGGTTGATCAGGGCCGGAACTCCTGCAAAACTCCAAACTAAAACCACAAATATGGAGGAAGCCATAAAGCAAAACGTCTGAACAAAGAGCAGGTTTCACACCAGCAGTCAAACGGATGAGGTCATTCCTGGTCGGGGGAGAGGATGGAGGAGAGAGCATGTTGACCTTGGTGTGACGGAGGCAGGGATGATCCCAGAACACAGCAGAGATCTGGATCCTCTTCAGCTCAGGCTGGAAATCCAGTCTGAATAAAACAGAGAGAGAGAGAAAAAAATCTCTTGTCACATTTAAATTATCATTTAAAATAACAGTATCATCATTTATTTTAGACATTCTTATTTTATTTGATTTCACTTTTTTTTTAAAAAAAGAGAGAGAAAGAAATTAGTGTGTGAGGAAAATGTGGTCCAAGACGTGATGCTTGTTTCTAATCAACCAGATCCTCCAGAGAGCTGTCAGCACTGGTGTAGATTTCATCCCCCAGATGCATCAAATAAACACTGGCTGCATTTTGCCCTGTTAGGAAATAAAGGGGAAAAAAAATCCAAAATATAACAAGCGAAAAAGAGAAAAATATATTTTAAAACAAGGTTGAATCAGGTTATATATATTCTACACAAAAAAAATGCATTGATCCAATTTGTTTTGATATACCTTGAAAAAAAAGTGGGCTGTTGTCAAACACGCAAACAATGAAAAATTCATATTGAAAAGAAATTCAACAGTTGAAATGTTATAATTAAAATTCTCATTTGTCAATTTGTCATTTTACTTTTACGATTTTTATTTGATTGTATTTTTTTTATTATAGTTTTTTATTACTACAGTGTCTTCATCTATGATTTTTCATAAGGATAAAAGCCAGAGGTAATTATTGAACTATTACCGAATAATAATAATAATAATAATAATAATAATAATAATAATAATAATAATAATAATAATAATAATAATAATAATAATAATAATAATAGACAGTTTTTCTTAAAGCAAGGAAAAACAATAAATCAAAATTATAACAAAAGGAAAACTTACATGTTTCTTCTGAACTGTATTGTAAAATGTGTCTTTTTTTTTTGTCTTTTATGCCAAAAAAAAATACTTTTTTTTTTTTTTCTTTTTTGTACGCCACAGCCATATGCAAATGCATTCGCCGCCCTGCGCGTCCGGCGTCAGGTGGAAAGCCCTCGCCGTCAGAGCTGCAGGACGCTCTGTGCTCTGAGAGGAAATGAAATATTTCTCGGATGATAAATAAAAGGAGCGCTTTCTGGCTGAGTTATGGCCCGGGGTTTCGGCGTCGCTGAGAGGGATGCATGCCTCCGCCTCTCTCCCGCCCCAGAGGAGGTATCATCAGAGCTGATATACGGTCCAGCTCTGCGTTACCTTTACAAAAAAGAAAAAAACAAAAAAGAAAAAAACAAAAACAAAGGATCATCCGCGCTGTGGCTCGTGAAAAACAAATATCTGAGTCTATAAGCTGCGGCCTCTAACGGAAGCCGAGTCGACTTGTCCGAATACGTTTAACTGAAAGCCTATGAAGTGCCGCTGGACTGGAGTTTCACGCGTAAAAACGCACAAATTGACTTAGAGATTGTGATCCTCTCCCTCTTTCTCCCTCACTCTATTTCTCTATCTCTCTCTCTCTCTTCATCTCTCTCTCTCTCTCTCTCTCTCTGCTTCCCCTCATTTACCCCACATACCTATTCTGGTGTCTCACCACACGACTAAATTAGACCAAAGATGATAAGAGCACCGAGCATTATAATTCCGCCGGGCTCCTCCTCCTTCCAACCATGCGTCCTAATTAATGGGACGCCCCCCCTTTTCTCCCCCCCCCCCCCTCCTCCCCCCCCAGTCGCAAAAAGCCCAGCGCTGGACTGCAACATAGTCAAAGAGTGAAAGGGAAGAGGGCGAAAGTGCCACTGGAGATAATTGATTAGCCACCAATCAATGATAACTTGTTAGTAATCGTCGACTCTTTGGACTTCGCCATTTTCAGGGAGGCACCTCATTCCTGCGGATCGAGACTTTGAGCGCATCCCATTTCGGAATAACCCTTCCCTTTATTTATTTCTTTTTTCCCCTCTTTTTGTTTTTTCTACTTTACCTCCACAGTGTTGTGTGACTTTTGTTGTTGTTTCACACGCTCATCTTCAATTTTGGGTTTTTTTTTTTATTGTTTTTTTTTTTTTTTTTTTAGTTCTTTTCAACCTATAAAATCTCAAAGCAACTTAAACTCTGCCTGCGACCAATGATGACATCCAAAGAGGTGGCCAAATGCGACGCGGCGGAGAACAGGAGACGCAGCCCGCTGGACCACTTGCCGCCTCCTGCCAACTCCAACAAGCCGCTGACGCCCTTCAGCATCGACGACATCCTGAACAAGCCGTCGGTGAAGCGGAGCTACGCCATCTGCGGCACGGCGCACCTCATCTCGTCCTCCGAGAAGCACCGTCCGTCCAGCCTGCCGCTGTCCAGCCGCGCGCTGCTCACGCAGACCTCTCCTCTGTGCGCGCTGGAGGAGCTGGCCAGCAAGACCTTCAAAGGGCTGGAAGTCAGCGTGCTGCAGGCTGCGGAAGGTAAATGTCGGACGCTTTCTTCTGCTGCTTTTTACGTGCGGGGGGTTTGGTGGGGGATACACCAGAAACATTCATATATATAAATATTTTTTTTTATTTGATGTGTTGATAGAAAAAAAAGGACATATTTTTCTTTTCATTTTCTCTTCTTTTCTGCTCTTCGTGGATTTATCTGTCTTGTCCTCGTCACTGTAAAACTATCATTTTCGTTCCTGTGTTTCGAGGTGAAAATGAAGTTCGGATTTGGGTGTCATGTTCTTTATTTTTGGGGGGGAGTTTGGAGCACTTTTACGCACAGCCCAGAAAGAAGCCACTCAGCCTCAGCAGAAACCCCTGATTTCCAATTTGGATCCGTCTTTATAGATGACGAGGTGCAATTTCATCCCTTCCACTTCCTACACATATAGTTTATTTTATTCTATTTTTGTAGTTCAGCATTTTCAAACACGTCGACGTGTAAATTTCATATGGCATAATGAACATCCATAAAAATGCTAAACCCTCCCACTTTTAATTCTGCATTATTTTCTGATAACTTTGTCCTTCGAGATGTTTTTATTTCAGTTTTGTTCTGATCCATGATTGGGCCTGATGACTCGCTTTAAAATATGGACCATCACGAGCCCTGATGGAGCCAGAAAAGCTCAGCCACCTCCTGCTGCTGCACGCAATAGTGAGAAAGGTGTAACCACCTTTTTTTTCTCTCAACGCACTAGAAGTAAAATATAGAAGAAGAAAAAAATACATTAAATCTTCATTTTGTCTAAGCAGGAACGAAACGTCCCCAAGTCAACGCCTATATATTCGGAACGGAAAGCTCCATTTCGTACCCGAATGACTCCAGTAAACGAGTAGCTAAAACTGCAGAGATGCAACGTTAACACATTTCTGTTATTTTGACTGTATTTTATTATTTTCACTGCATTTTTTTTTTTTTTTTTTGCAATATCGACTTGGTGTTTTTAATCGGAAAACCAGTGTAATCTCAGCAGTCAGCAGTTTTGCGCTCCATAATCTATTTACGCCACATTCCTGTGGATTTAAAGTGCATTGTGGGAAATTTCTCGGTCGCTATTCTTACAGTATGAGTGATATTAACTCACCAAAACAATAAGATAAATAGACGGATCCTCTTGGTCGTTGAAGCGAAGGTAAAGACACGTTTTTCAGCAAACAATAATTTAAAATAAGTCTGTCATGGACTCCACTGCAATTCAGTGTAAAGAGTTTTATAGACGACTTAAAATACAAGAGACGCAGGACAATTGTCCCCACTGTGCTACTGCTATTTAACAATAAATCTGTTTTTTTTTTTTCAATGGAAAGATTGAATCTATTTTACTGGGACTCAGGAGACACGTCATGAATGTGTCTGCTGCTGTGACCAAGTGAAACATATTCTGACCATATTTGAACAACAACAAAAAAAGTTGCCAATGTTAAAACAACAGAGTGTCTGAAGGCCCACTTTTAAATAGGACAAGAAAGCCTGACAGGGAAATCTAAACCAAAACAGAGAAAAGACGAGGTGGCAGATGAAACTGCCATAAAATGCACCCTGCTATGGATATTCAGAGTATTTAAGAAACATGCAGGAAATGTGGAGGCGGTACGTTTTCAATAAACGTCCATTGCAACTCTGAAGAAGAATGCAGTTTTACTAAAACATTAGCATGAACTCAGTTCAGGTCAGCATGAATATGCATATTGCTAACTTTCATATTATGTCTATTTGTTTGAGCCCATTCCCAACAAAACCACACATAACGCAATTAACTTCTTTAAATATCTTTCCTCCTTCACCGTTCCGTGCCTTCCGGTTCTTTAGCTGTGGTCGTTTCGTACCCCAGTTGTTCCAGGATGTTTTGTACTTCCATGTCATGAGGAACCCAGCAAAGGGACATCTTGTGCACACATCAGTGAGAAATTATTTTAAATATTGTGCCTGATGGTCTGAATAATACAGACCATCAGGAGGTCATTTAGTTTGAGGGGCTTGGGGCCCTGAGTCAATTGGACCAACCTATTGAACAATAACATTTTCAGACACTTGAATTTAATTTAATTATACATGAGGCTTTTTTCA